CTAAATATTTTAAATCTGTCTCCTTCTGTTATTCACAAAACAATTGTCCTACCTTGGGGAAGGAAGGAATTATGACATGTTTACTTGGAAATTCAGTTCTGCAATTTTCTAACCAAACCCCATTTGGCTAATTTATATACTGATCTAGTTCTCAGTACTTTGGGACATCATGAGACATCCTTCTACACCTGCTAGATTGGTGGGATGGGGGTAGCTGTGTGTGGCCTTTTGACAGCATTGTTGCCACTGCAATTGAGACAATTAACCAGGTGAAGCTTCTAATAAAACAATCAACCCAGGGGTTGATAGGAGCCAAGAGCAAGCTCAAAGGCACAGGCTTAAAATCCGTTCTGCTCAGGGTCTCCAGTGGAGGGATTAATAGGCCTGATTCACCATCTCCCCTCCAGGCCAGGGCTAAGGGATCTGGGCACCAAATAATTGCCTCAAATGATTAACACATTAGTTTTAAATGCTCCTCTGTTTCTGTTTCATCACTGGGGGATTTGAGGCAGTTTTTAAAGTTTAACAAATGCTCTTCAACTGGTGAGTGGATAAGCCAACTCTGGACCCAGTGGATACTACCCAGAAATAAGAAGGTACGGACTACTGATTAACATAACTACATGGGTGAATCTCAAACGGGTTATGCTAAATGAAATCAGGCAGACTCAGAAGACTACAAACTGTATGATTTCATTTCTATGACATTCGGAAAAGGCAAAACTGAACGGATATAAAATGTGAGCAAGCCCAGTCGGTCGTGGCTCAGCAGCTGAGCATCGACCTAGGATCCAGGAGATCGCAGTTAGATTCTAGGTCAGGGNAAGCCCAGTCGGTCGTGGCTCAGCAGTTGAGCATCGACCTAGGATCCAGGAGATCGCAGTTAGATTCTAGGTCAGGGCACATGCCCGGGTTGCAGGCTCGATCCCCAGTAGGGGGAGTGCAGAAGGCAGCCAATCAGTGACTCTCTCATCACTGATGTTTCTACCTCTCTCTCTCCCTCTTCCTTCCTCTCTCTGAAATCAATAAAGATATGTTAAAAATTAAAAAAATAAAATGTGAGCAATTTCCAGGGGCTAGGCGGAACAGCTGACTAGAAGGGAACATAGGGCATTTTGGAAAGTGATAGAACTGTTCTAGACTGATTTGTTAAAAGTGGTAAGATTGCATTTTAAAAGGGAAAATTGATTATTTCTGAGTTATACCTCAATAAACCTGAATTTTAAGAAATATTAAGGTTTTTGTCCCTCAGATACATCCTCCAGAAAGGTGGGTCTAGGTGGCCACATTCAAGCTCCGTCATTCAGGACTGTCTCCAGGTAGCCCTGCGCTTTCCTAGTCCAACAGCCCAATGAGTCATGGTCCAGTACAGGGAACAGAAACCACTCCAGGTATTTCAGTAAGAAAGTGATGTGATATGGGAATTAGGTGCTTAGAGAATCACGAAAAGATCTGGAGGAGGAAAAGTCCCCCTTGGACTTTTTAATTCAAGGACACACCACTGTAGGAGTCATGAGCCAAGTGTCAGGAAGCAGCTGGCACCACTTCTCCTGCCAATGCAGGTGGGACTAAGGTCCTAGAACTGTGAGTCTGGCCACTGCCACTGCCTCCAAACACTCACGTCTCATGACCGTGCCCTGCTAGCAGCACCAGCAGGAGGAACAGGGTGGGTCTTCATCTCAGGCTTCCAAATCCCACACAAATGCATTTAGAAACCTAGCTGTAAGCAAGTCTAGGACCTGGATTGTTAGGTTTCCAATCAGGTGCGGGGAATGAGGTCCCAATACTAGAAGAGAGCCAGTCCTCAGTATCTCCCTAAGCACAGCTCTTCCTGTCCCGAAACGAGGCACTCTTCAACAAAGAAAGTAAACAAAATCCTTTTTCTGTCTAAACTCAAATTTCAAACAGTGTTAAGAGAATTGAAAAATTGTTCTAATGGGTAAAACCAAGATCCTGACTTATTTCATTATGGAAGCATATTTCATTGTCACATTGAGTTAGTTCTAGCTCCAGCAGAATAAAATTTTAAGATCACTGTATTTGATAACAGCCAACCACAGTTCTAATTCATGCATTAAATACACACTGGTCTTTGAGTTTCATTCTGCTGGGAATTAAACAGACTAATTTTAAAAATGCATTAACTTTTCAGACACCTGTAAGTTACCTCATGGTAAGCCAGACCCC